GCGCTTCACTCCGGTCGCTGACGCTCTCGGCTCCCCATTTGGTAGGATGGGGTTCTCGCATTCAAGCCGCACGCATCGCCTGTGATCCCCCGATCACCAACATCCCCCTGTCTCCTTTTGAAAACTCAATGCCAAGGAGGGATCGCCTGTGAGCTTCGCCGGGGCTGACGACGCCAAGGAACGGGTCCGCCAAGCCACCGACATAGTCGATCTGGTCGGCAGCTACTTGCAGCTGCGCAGGCAGGGACGCGGCTACGTCGGCCTCTGCCCCTGGCACGACGACTCGAAGCCCAGCTTCCAGGTGAATCCCGACCGGCAGTCGTTCAAGTGCTGGGTCTGCGACATCGGTGGCGACGTCTTCTCGTTCCTGATGAAGATGGACGGCCTCGAGTTCCGCGAGGCGCTGGAGCAACTCGCCGACCGCGCCGGCATCGAGCTACGTCCCGCCCAGCCAGGGCAGCGCATCGAGCCCGGCTCGCCCGGCGACAAGAAGACGTTGCTAGCCGCGATGGCCTGGGCCGTCGAACGGTACCACCACTGCCTACTCGAAGCCCAACAAGCCGAGCCCGCGCGGGCCTACCTCGCCGAGCGCGGCGTCTCGGCTGAGGCCATCCAGCGTTTCCGCATCGGCTTCGCGCCGCAGGGCTGGGATTGGCTTCTCAAGCAGGGCCCCGGCGCCGGCTACTCGCCCGCCGTGCTGGAACGCGTCAACTTGATCGCGTCGCGCAGCTCGGGCGACGGCTACTACGACCAGTTCCGCGGCCGCGTGCTCTTCCCGATCCGTGACGTGCGCGGCCGGCCCGTCGCGATTGGCGGGCGGATCATTCCGCAGCTAGCAGAGGCAGAGGCGCGCCCCGATTACAAACCGGCCAAGTACGTCAACTCGTCGGAAACGCCCATCTACTCCAAGAGCCACACGCTCTACGCCCTCGACTTGGCGAAAGAGGGCTCGTCGCAGCTTAGCGAGCTGGTCGTTGTCGAGGGCTACACCGACGTCATCGCCTGCCATCAGGCGGGCGTCACGAATGTCGTCGCCTGTTGCGGCACCGCGATGGGCGAGGGCCACCTGAAGCTCGTCCGCCGCTTTACCGACCGCCTCGTGCTCGTGCTCGACGGGGACGAGGCCGGCCGGCGCCGTGCTAGCGAGCTGCTGGAACTTTTTATCGCTAGTCCGATCGATCTTCGGATTCTGACCTTGCCTGGAGGGCTCGATCCGTGTGATTTTGTAGCGTCACATGGAAGTGACAAGTTCGCGGACCTGGTCGCCCAGGCCCCGGACGCCCTCGAACACAAACTGCAGAGCGTGACCAACGGAATGGTCCTCTCAGCTGACAACACGCACGCCGCGACGCGCGCCGCCGAGCAAATGCTCGCGACGCTCGCGCGCACCCGCCCGCTGCTCGGCGAAGCGCCCAGCGCGTTCTTCTTGCGTGAGCAGTCGATCGTCGGCCGGTTGTCGCGGCGCCTCCGTCTCCCCGAAGAAAGCCTCCGCAAGCGGCTCAGCGAACTGCGTCAGTCGGCTGACTCCAAGCCGCTGGTCGCCGCCCGCGTCGAAGCGATCGAAGACGCCGCCCCCCGCCGCGTCCGCGCCACGGAGCTTCCCTCTTGGGAGCGAGAAGCGATTGAGCTGATGCTGCTCGGCGACGACTTCGCTCAGAAGCTCACGCAGGACCTCGACGAGGTCGACTTCCACGGCGCTGCCCGCGAGCTGTTTGTCGCCTTCCGCGACGCGGCCCTCGCCGGCGAGGCCACTTACGAACACCTGATGTCAATCATCGAAGACGAGCCGCTAAGGATGCTTCTCATCGAGATCGATGAGCTTGGCTCGGGACGCACCACCAGCGACCCGGTCAAGCGACTAAACGACCTTCTGCTCATCCGCCAGCGTCGCCATGAGGGCGCCGCTCGCGGTGAGCAGATATCGGCTCTCCGCAGTGGAGAGCTCTGCGAGAGCGAAGCGGACCAGGCGGTCGCCGCCTTGTTTGCTTCGCGAAAACGCCACGAGACAGGTTCCCCGTCCACGGAAGGATAGGGTGTCTCGTCGGTGAGGCCCGCCGCGTTGTGCACGCCCCCGCACCGCACACCGCGATCGCGCCGCCCGTTGTCACCTCGAATGTGCGCACGACGCGCGCCAGGGAGTGTTGACCCATGCCTGCAGTTGCAACCACCACCGAGCCGCAGCTTTCGCTCTACACCGGTCCGGAAGAAGACGTCGTCGAAGTCGCCGCTGACGCGCCCGACTTGCTCGACGCCCCGGCGCCCGCCGCCGAGTTCACGCCCGACGGCCGTCCCTCTCGGATGGACACGCCCACCGGTCCGCCCGCGGGCATCCCCGGTGGCGTTGACGCCGCGCTGCGTCGCATCGTCGCCCTCGCCCGTCGCCAGGGCTGCCTGTACTACCACCAGGTCTACAACTACCTGCCGGACGAGACCTACGGCACCGACCAGATCAACGCCCTGCTGTCGGCCGTCGAAGGCCTCGGCGTCGAACTGCGTGAACCGCCGGGGACGAAGCCCCGCTTCGAAGAGACGCAGGTCTACGTCGAGGGCGATCGCTCGTCGCTACTGCGTGACGGATTACCGACCTCGTCGAGCGACCCGATCCGCATGTACCTCTCGCAGATGGCGGAGATCCCTCTGCTAACGCGTGAGGAAGAGATTAACCTCGCCAAGAAGATCGAGCTCACCCGCAAGCGGTTCCGCCGCAATCTGCTCCGCTCGTTCTACGCCCTCGAAGCAACCGTCAAGGTGCTCGAGAAGGTCCAGGCCGGCGAGTTGCCCTTTGACCGCACCATCAAGGTGTCGCTCACCGAACGGCTCACCAAGGAGCAGGTCTCGGCCCGTCTGCCGCACAATCTGAGGACGCTGCGGGCGCTGATCGAACAGCAACGGACCGACTACGCCCTGATGGTGGACCGCCGCGTCACCGAGCCCTCGGCGAAGAGCGAGGCCCGCCAGCGTTACGTCCGCCGTCGCGAGAAGATGCTCTCGCTGGTCGAAGAGCTGAGCCTCCGCACGAAGCGCGTTAGCCCGCTAATCAAGGAGCTGCGTGACTACGCCGACCGCATCGACGAAGTCCGCCGCGAGCTGGCCGAGCTGAAGGCCGCCGGCGCGCCGGACGACAAGCTGCACTCGGTGCGGGCCGAACTCTTGCAGATCACCAAGCGTGTCTGCGAAAGCCCGGCGAGCCTCCGCCGCCGCGCCGACATGGTCGCCCGGCAGTACCGCGAGTTCGAGAACACCAAGCGTGAGCTTTCCAGCGGCAACCTCCGCCTCGTGGTCTCGATCGCCAAGAAGTACCGCAACCGCGGCCTGTCGTTCCTGGACCTGATCCAAGAGGGCAACGCCGGCCTGATGCGGGCGGTCGATAAGTTCGAGTACCGTCGCGGCTTCAAGTTCTGTACGTACGCCACTTGGTGGATCCGCCAGGCGATCACCCGCGCCGTCGCGGACCAGAGCCGCACGATTCGTATCCCGGTCCACATGGTCGAGACCATGAGCCGCGTGCGGAACGTGTCGCGCATGTTGCTACAGAAGCTGGGCCGCGAGCCGACGCTCGAAGAGACCGCCAAGGCGGCCGACTGCACGATTGACGAGGCGCGTCGCGTCCTGGCGATGAGCCGTTACCCGATCAGCCTCGACCGCCCGGTCGGCAACAGCGAGGACAGCCAGTTCGGCGACCTCCTGCCCGACAACGGCGCCGAGAGCCCCGCCAACGGCGCGGCTCAAGAGATGCTCCGCGGCCGCATTACTGACGTCCTCAAGACGCTCAGCTACCGCGAGCGCGAGATCATCAAGCTCCGTTACGGCCTAGGCGACGGCTACAGCTACACGCTCGAGGAAGTGGGCCACATCTTCAAGGTGACCCGCGAGCGCATCCGCCAGATCGAAGCCAAGGCCGTCCGCAAGCTGCAACAGCCAAGCCGCAGCGCGGAGCTGGTGGGCTTCTTGGATTAAGAAGACGACTAGAAGAATCGACCTAGCAAAAGGCCCCCGTCGCGCGAGCGGCGGGGGCCTTTTTCGTTGAAATGGCGGCGGTGGGGTCGGGCGGTTTGAATTATTCTGAGGGCCATCGCTGGTGGCGTCGCCCCCTAAGAAAGCTGCTCCCATGCCTCGTCGTTCTTCTCGTCGAATCGCGTCGCCCCGTCTGCGGAATCGCCTGCGCTGCGAGGCGCTGGAGGACCGCCGCGTGCTGGCGACTTATGTCGTCAGCTCGACGGCCGACGCCGGCGCGGGATCGCTCCGCGAAGCGATTGATCTGGCGAACGCGACGGCCGGCGTGGCGGACGAGATTGTTTTCGACGAGACGCTCTTCGCGACCCCCCAGGCGATCCTGCTCGACAGCCAGCTGCCGACGATCACCGACGCGCTGTCGATCGTGGGGCCGGGGGCGGATTTGCTGGCGCTGGACGGGCAGAATGGCCGCGATGGCAACCCGATGACCCCTGATCTCTGGCGGCTGTTCATCAACAACATTTCCGATACCGATGGGACGTTCGGATTATCGATTGCGCAGATTACGATCCGCAACTTCAACGCAAGCTCGGCCATCATCAACACGGGGTCGCTAATGCTCGACTCGGTTGTCGTCTCCGATAACCGGAGCGGCGGCACCTACGGCGTCGTCGAGAATCGCGGCGCGATGCGAGTCGTTGATTCGACGTTCGAGAACAACTCGGCGAATGCCGGAGCGGCAATTTACCACCGAGGCTCGATCCTCGAAATTATCCGCAGCAAGTTCACGGGCAACACTGCCATCAATGGTGGAGGCGCGATTTTCGCCGGGACGAATCTTTCCGTGGTTGATTCGTACTTCGAGTCGAACTCCGGAAACAATGGGGGCGCGATCTATGCCGACGGCGGCTTGAGCATTCTTGGCAGCACCTTTGTGCGGAATGATGCCGGGACAGGGGTGGGCGGAGCGCTGTCGGTGAACCAGGGACCGACTTCTAACGTTGCGAACATTGTTGGCAGCACGTTCTTGGAGAACGGGGCCCTCTTCGGGGGCGCGATCGACACCTACCGCGGCTTCACGATGAGTCATTCGACCGTTCTCGGGAGCCGTCTCCGTACCAGCGGACTCTCTTCGGGCGCGATTGATGCTTACGCTAATCACACCGTCGTAATCGACCATTCAATTATCGCCGGGACGGTTGGCGTCAATACAAATGGATCGACGTACCCGAAACATGACCTCTACCGTGTTACGGATGTCATCAACAGCCTCATTGGTTACGACAGTCAGGGACTAGTCGATGGCGAGAACGGCAACCTCGTCGGCGACGAGTCGTCGCCGATCGACCCACACTTAGCGCCGCTTGCCTACAACGGCGGGCCAACGCCGACTCTCGCGCCGCTCCCCAGCAGCGTGGTGATCAATGCGGGCGACCCAAACTACGTCGTGACGCCGTACGAGATCGATCAGCGCGGCGGGCCGTACCAGCGCGTCGCTGGCGGGCGGATCGACATCGGCGCGTTTGAGGCCCAAGGGCCGGTCACCGCGGCGCCCGGCGATTTCAATGGCGATGGCCGCTTCGACGCCGCCGATTACACGGTCTGGCGTGACAGCCTGGGCTTGAGCGTCGCCCCGCTCAGCACGGGCGACGCGACCGGCGACGGCCTCGTTGACGAGACGGACCGCCTGCTCTGGGTCTCGCGCTACGGGGATCGCTATGTCGCGAAGGTCGAGGTCAACGACCTAGCGGACGACGACGACGGCGACATCTACAACGGCCGCACGACGCTCCGCGAGGCGATCAACTACACGAACGAGAACGCCTGGGCCGACCGCATCACGTTCGACCCCGCCCTCTCCGGCGGCGTGATCGAGGTTGGGACAACGAACTTTGGCAGGTACTACCAGATCGAATCGGAGTTGACGATCGACGCTTCGATATTGCCCGAGGGGATCACGCTCGATGCGGGCGAGCGGACGACCGGACTGCACATCAACGCCTTCCACGTCAACACGAACAACGATTTCGACGTCACGCTGATCGGGTTGACGATCGAGAATGGCGTTAGTCCAGGCCAGGGAGGCGGCATCTGGTCGCTGATGAACGGCAAGCTGACGCTGATCGATTGCCAGTTATTCGACAACACCGCTGGGCGCTACTGGGACGGTCAAACCTTCCGGGCCAGGGGGCCCGGCGGCGCCATCTACGCCGAGGGGCCTGTTACTCTCATCGACACTCTCATCGACGGCGCCAGCTCCGCCGGTCCCTCGAGCATCAATGCGGGCAGCGGTAGCGCCGTTCTAGCGGTGGGCCATGTCAATCTAGTCCGTAGCCATATCAAGAATGTCACGGCAGAAAGCGGGGGAGGCGCGATCGCGGCCGTGCACGCTAGTGGGTCGACTTACGAACTTGATGACCCTCCCTCGGTGTGGCTCGTCGATAGTTCGATCACGAACGCCGCGGGAGGCGGCATCGTCGCCCAAGGAACGGTGTCGCTGACGCGGAGCACCGTTGATGGCGTGTCGGGAATCGGAATCCACGCCGGCGCAATGCCCCACCGGCCGGTGATCGGTGACGTAACGCTCGTCGATAGCGCCGTCCGCGGCTTCTCGATCAACGACACTTCAAATTATTCCTACTTCGGACTTCCGGGCGGGGCTGGCATCGCGGCGTATGGCAATGTCGCCCTAGTGCGGAGCCACGTTGAAGACAACACGGTTGTCAATCCAACTTCCACGAAAGGCGGCGGCATCTACGCCCGTGGAACCGTGTCGCTGCTG